AAACTTCGAATCACCAAACTACCCTATTCATAAACACCTCCCCTCCTTGAACACCAAATCTCCAATCTCATTGCCTCCCCGAGAAAGTAAAGAAAAACAAGAAACGCAGTAGTGAAATCCAAATACTTTTAACCTAACTCCCCTGTGATCCAAAGATTCAAATAATATCAATCATCCCATAATCCATTCTCCCCCCTGATGTAAGTCGTGTAAGATGTAAAAAAGAAAGCTAAATATGGTATAAGGAGACAAAGAAATATCATCAACGAAAAATGGAAAAATATGAACACGAGAATGTCAGAACAAAGAGAATAAATGTCTTCGTTTATCGTGAGAATTTAAGGAAAAGAAGAAAAAGAAGAAGTTTTAGTAGAGAAGACGAAGAAGGAATAGATAAATAGGGAATCCATAGATCAAAATAAAAAAGGAGGTAGTGAATAGAATGAAGAGCGCTGAAACATCAACATGAGAATAGTGAGTGGTATCGCGTATCAGCTGATTGAGTGGTGGTTTCCGGAATGGTGAGATGGAAATACATAAACCTATGTACAGTTAGAAGAATGAAAACTTAGACATGAAATTAGTGAACTCAACGTACCATTGCATCTATGTAAGGCTTTTGTATCGCCTTGATAAGAAACTCCGAAAGGAAATTTTGCAAAAAAGCATCGAGATGTCGAACAAAATAACCCCCTCTCCCCTCTGAAAGAAAAGAGGTCCATACCAAAAAGACTTGCAACTCAGCGTTGGATCTTAACATACTATTAAAGACCTTCAGGATAGGCTTCAAGCGAACTTAGGACGGATTCATGACAAACCCTCGCTCCGAACCACGTTCCCACAGAGGTGGTGAAACAAGAAGAGACCTCCGTCTTGGTCGTGGAGATTGAAGTATGGGTGTCTGAATCTCCTCGTATACTGTTGGCGACATCAAGTTTATATCATTCAATGGCAGAAATGTCGATTTCGTCTTTATTGGCCCTATTTCCTCGGAATCTAACAGCATTTGTCCAATACTAGCAATTTTTAAAGCATCCCATGTGCCTTCACGTCTAGGGCCTGCTTCCCTTAAGATCGTGACCGCATCTCTCCTTATTTTTTGATCAGGACACGCGTATATCACAACGAAAAGAGAAGGAATAATCCCCGCATCGAAGACGAATGTCTTCAAGAATCGAGGATCGGAAACAAGCTTTTGACTGAGAGAGATGATTTGACGAAAGATGGGAAGGAAGTGATCGGAAATCCTGTAATCAAGGAAAACTCCTTGACCCATGAGTCCTATCCCGAGAGCCTTAATCTGAAGAGTGGTGGCAGCAATAAAATCTGCTTTACCCGAAGGAGATTGTGCACAAGAAATGATTGGCTGAAATGCTCTTTGCCAATCTTGAAAGCTAGAACTGAACTTAGGAAACTCGAATCCAGTGAGGATAGGAGATGATGCTTCTGGGTGAAGCTTTTGAATTCTTGAAAAGCTGATTGCCAAACCTTGAGGAGAGAGATCCGGTGATGCCAAGCGCCTTTGTAGGTCTGCCCTTGGTATCTTCGGGAGAGAATGGTATAACACATGTTCTAAATGAACTTCGGCTTCTGCGAGATTGTCAAGTTGTCGAGGAATGTCCGGTTTGGGTATATCGTTTGAAATGAGATCGAGGACCTTATCGCTTAATGAATCTGGATCATCTGGTCGTGTCACGATTGCCAGAGCAAGGTGGAGATACGCAGTGACAATCTCATTTTCTACCAAATCCGGCGCAGGAGAGCTCAATAACGGATTGTGGTGGGGATGACTTGAAATTGCTTCATGATGGTGCATCATCTTAAGTGCACTATAAATGTGTTTGTCGGCCAGCTGAGTGTTGCCATCTATCAGACGCCGGGATCAGTAATTGTGTAGCAGAAATGCTCAAAGAGAGAATGGAGCTTACGAAAATTCTCAAAGCAAAATATAATGAGAGACACAAGTAAAGGTATGCGAAGAGAATTTTGACTCGTTCGGATAAGGTTACGAAGATACCGAATGGATCTTCCATATTGCTTCAGAGCGTATCGACGGTGCATCTCTACTTGATCGGCTATATCATACGCGATTAGTACTACATTACTGAGTTATCCTTGGGACTTACAAATCCTCTTGAAACCGGCTTCACCTTCTCTCGGGTCTATACATTTCGAGACTTTCATTGCTTTGCTCAAAGCAGCGATTGCGGTGGCAGCATGTCGGACAGATGTATCAGTATGACAGGATTGAAGGATGATGACGTTGAACAGTTTCTTTTTAAACCCTCCGGCGAGCTCGAAGACGGTCTCTTTACAAAAGAAATCAAAATATTGAGCCTCTTGTTCATTACCGAAGTTCAACACGGAGATACGAGGTGGTATTGAGAACGGTGGAGATTCTACGACTTCTTGAGATATGCCAGTAGATATAGTTGGGCCCATCAGCCAAGCCGGTTTATCCTAAAACTGGTGTTAGTATTGCCAGATTAGAGGATAGATTGAAGATATACCTTAGGACTATACTCGTAGCCATCGCACTTCCTCCCGAAGTTTATGCATCGCATGCACGATGGTTTGGTCTCATCACATTTGACCCTTCGCAGCCTACAATTGAACGAACTGTTAGTAAATGATCGGATGGTCACCTTTCAACATAAGAAAATTTTCAGTATGATGAAAGAAACCACAAACTTCACACTTTCAACATCCAATCGATCATGTGGATCAATCGAACATTTCAGTCACCACTTTTACTCACTTGCAAGTGGTACACCCTGTCTTTGACTTCTGCCTGCACGCACGTGTCTTCCTAAAAGACAGTGGAGATGGCCCTACTAACGTGATATCTGAAGAGAAACTCATTGCCATCTTGAGAATATGGCAATGATGAGAAGTGAAATGTGAGAATATGAAATAGCCAATTAGAAAAGACGAATTGTGTGAAACAATATGCTAGCCTCAGAAACAGGGCTAGGATAGGAGAGAAGGGGAGTAACAGTGAGAGAGGAAGCCTGGGGAGATCCGAGACTTCTAAACGCGCGCAAGATTCCAAAGGAGAGTAAGAGATTGAAGTCAGCGTTAGGAGATCCGGCTCCTTGATGAGGAAATCAACTACGTGTATAAGTCTGCGGCGGTAAAGATAACAGCGGTAAAGATAAAAATGATTCTTCCATTACTGTATAGGGCTGGTGATGGAGATAAAGTACTCCACGCGGATGTGTATTAAAAGCAGTAATCATAGTGCTCATTGTTGATGATACAAACAAGGTGATGTTGTTGGAGTGTGGATCCGAAGTGTTATATTTTTTGATACTATATTTAAAAATAGAAGTGACAGAAATGTAAAGACAAGGTTACAATTGGTTGAATTAATTTTCAATAATTAGTGACCAATATATCTTCCAATCAAAGGAGGGAATTCTATTTCAAAAGTGTCGTAATCCTTGACTTATCCCTAATTAATCCTTGCCCCGATCTTATCTTCTCATCAAATCCCAAGGTTTCCTTAAACGCGCGACGGTGAGGATAGACGATTCCGTGTGCGTGCCTTGCATGAGATATTTGCAGAATCCTTCGAACATCCGTAAGGTTATTATGTGATCTGTGCCAAATCACCCAATACCACTCGATGGGGATGGGGAGATTAAATCCCATTTCTATTTGAAGATACTCACTCATACTTCGTCCTCACTCATGAGAGACGAGGCTGAAGAATCCCTTATTTGGGATTTGGCGCGCCGAGAAGTTGAGACTCATCGTGTGTAGACGCATCAATTATCCGTATTAATGTCATGGTCCTGGGAATGGGAAGTTCTTGAAGGATGCAAAGGACCCGAATACGTGCGGGAAATGGCGATAACAGGAAACGGCAGATCTTGTAGGATTTCTTCATACCATTCTTCACTTCGCCCACTAAGAATAGAGATTAATTGTATATTACTCCGTATGTCTTCGCATGCCTGGGCAATCCGTAGGGCTTTCAATCTGAGAGTCCTGGAAAAGCTGAGGATGTAATGAGGTGATCTATATTAATACTCCATCTCATTTCCGTTCTCTTAAGTGTCAGCTCCTGCTCATTGATCATCGTTGATGTGCCACTCCTTCTATATAAGGTTGTCTTCCTTTCTTTATTGATTTTGGTGTGTTGGCTGCAGCTGTTGGCCATGGCTATATCTGACACAAATCCAGCATGAGTTCTATGTGATCGCATGTCAATCGGGGTAGCAAAATGGGGCCCCACAGTGAACAATGATGATCAAGTATTGAAAGAGTCGTGCGAATATGAGAGGTCAATGTATGAGATGACCTCGGGTATGAAGGAAGTTGGCTAAGTATGAGATTAATTCAGAGCCACGGAGCCACAAATCCACCTCGCTGCCGCCCGAGGATTGAATTACCCAGATCATGGATCGCTCATCACATGATCAATCATGATATCAAACAAATCAACCAATGAACGCACAATAGTTGAGCACAGAGACTGCCATCTCATTTATGCTCCACTAAGTTTCCATCCAGAAATTACGAAATCCAAACAGAACTTTATTTCGACCTTCTAGGTAGGTCCACGGGTACTTGGGGAAGTCTTCTCTCCAAGCTGAGACAATACGACAGCCACATCACGTTGACTTGGCGATAAATTTATTGGAGAAAGAATAAAAGGTGGAAGTTCTTGGAATCATCATCATTCTGCCCATGCCAAGTCGACCATGATTTATTGGCCTAGGCATTATGCAAAGTCCACCTGCACCTGCACCTGCACCTGCACCTGCACCGGTTGTCTGACCAAAGTCGGTTTTCCGTGGTCATGGAAATGACTGAAATGACTGAAATGGTATGGAATGATGCGGAGTGTAGTTGGACCGAATGATTGTGTGGCTGGTAGGCTAAATTCTGAGCAGGTAGGTACTCAGTAGGTATTGGAGAGAAGACGGAAACAATTCATTCATCATCTGAATAATTGCAATAACAACAAGGCTGATGAGTGAGCGATGGACTCATTATGTAGATGCTTTCTTTCTTTCTTTCTTTCTTTCTTTCTTTTTTATAGACACGGCACCTACTAGATCGTACCTGGATAGATATGCATTCATCCATCTTATTTTTCTTTTCTTACCTTTCCATATCTTACCAAGAAATCAAATACGAGGCTTGGTTTGAATTTGAATTTCTTTCAAACCTTCCGGACTGATTGGAACATCTTTTTCTTTCAAGGAAATACAAGTTTAAGAGCCGAGACTTATTCTTCTCCACAATCTTCTTCTTATTCTATCTTCTCAAGTCTACTTATTACCCAGTCGTCACTCACGAATCGGATTCAATACTGTACCGTTAGTACCGTTAGCATGGATGCCACTTTACTCAACTCTACTGCACGGTACTTGATTTAACTCAACAACGACGAAAGTTCGTTCTTCGTTCCTCTATTGCTTTTTACATTCTTGGTGTTGAATTCCAAGATTACTCCGCCTCACTATCCTTGCTTCTCTTTATAAATCTGCATTCCCCGCAAGATCATCATCTAGGATCCTACCACATCCGCGCCTTCCATCGATACGAGAGAATTCCAAAGATTTGTCACTACCTACCTGGTTAGATCGTACAACACAATCAACCGTTACTTTACTCTCAATAAATCTCTTCGCTCGACAACCACCAACTTGATCAAAACAACAACATTTATTTCCATAATAATCATCCTGTTATGGTGTTGGTCCCGGTTTTGCTACAACCAATCCGCTCTTTGGCTTAATTTTTGGGACTTCTGCTCACTCTCTCCCGAAATCAATTGGGTCGTTCAATTGTTCGTTGTTGATCTTGATTCTTGGGGAATTAGGGTATAGAAAGTTCGAGGAGAATAATTCAATCGTTTATCCCATCCCGTTTGGAACCATTCTCTGGATATAATTTAATTCAAAGGATTTCTTACCGTCGTTTTCGAGGTGGTTTCTTAATATTTCGTCATTTCTACCTCTGGTGTGCTTTGGTGTATAGACGTCATTGACCCCAGGGCTTTTTCAACCTCAACACCTAGTTAATATTTATTACACGAAACTACACAAGACTGCATAAACACAGACAAATATCATACTTTTAACCATGAAGGTCTCGAAGTCGGTATCGACTTTCGCTACAGGTTTAATAGCTGGAAGTCATGTCGTTAATGCGATAGAAGTTGATCTTGATTCTCCGGGTATATATTTCGTCCTCCATGTTAAATAATATATACTGATGACAAATTCAGATTCTATCAAGTCCGCAGCGAGTACGATTGCGTACGATATGATGTCCTATTACACAGGAAACCAAACGGGTGGCATACCCGGGAATCTACCGGCTCCATATTATTGGTGGGAGGCCGGAGCAATGTTCGGCTCACTGATTGACTATTGGTATTATACAGGCGATTCATCATATAACGATGTTACTACGGAAGCTATGCTGTGGCAGACGGGACCAGATAATGATTACATGACCCCAAATCAAACTAAAACGGAGGGAAATGACGATCAGGGATTTTGGGGGTTGGCGGCTATGTCTGCAGCCGAAGTGAATTTCCCAAATCCTCCCTCAAATAGGCCTCAATGGCTCGCTCTCGCACAGGCAGTTTTTAATACTCAAGCTCCTCGATGGGACGATAGTACTTGTGCTGGAGGTCTACGATGGCAAATTTTTACCTTCAATAACGGTTACAATTACAAAAACTCAATCTCTAATGGTTGCTTTTTTAATTTGGGTGCACGCCTTGCGAAATACACTGGCAACGATACATATGCACAGTGGGCAGATAGAACCTGGGATTGGATGGAGCATGTGGGGCTTATGGATCAAAATTACTACGTTTACGATGGTTCTGACGACACTCTTAATTGTACCAAGCTCAACCATATACAGTGGACCTACAATGCTGGAGCTTTCCTTCTTGGTGCGGCAAATATGTACAATTATACTAACGGAAGCGATATCTGGCGTGGACGTGTCGAAGGTTTACTAAATGCTACCCATGTTTTCTTCGAAGACAATGTCATGATGGAGGTAGCTTGTGAGAACAACGGGAAATGTAATGTTGACCAACAATCATTCAAAGCATACCTTGCTCGCTGGCTAGCGGCTACAACGAAAATGGCACCTTTTACCTACGATTCGGTTATGCAATTACTACGCCCCTCAGCGAAAGGGGCTGCCGCATCATGCGTTGGGGGCGATAATGGACGCACTTGCGGACTTAATTGGAGAACGGGACAATTCGATGGATTTTATGGAGTGGGCGAACAGATGTCAGCTTTAGAGGTCATTCAAAGTAATCTCATTGCGCAGGTTGCAGGACCAGTCACTAATACCACGGGTGGAACAAGTAAAGGTGATCCCACTGCTGGATCTGGGAAGAGCCCGACCAACTATCAGGCGTTACAACCAGTTACGACGGCTGATAGGGTTGGAGCAGGAATTCTTACGACAGTGGTATTGTTGATTCTTCTTGGAAGTATCTGGTGGATGATTGTGGATTAATGAAGGGAGAGCTAATGAGGGTGTTCTTGTATATATATATATATATTGGTACTTGGAACAGACGCGAAATCTCCTACAATTATGGGTATTCCACGCGCCAAATTTGGGGCTTCTTTGTAATTTCGGGTGGTGGATGGGATACGGAACCGATATCTTGGAGTTTTTGGGCGTTCAGTAGGGATTGGAGTGGAACGGGTCTGATTGGAGTATCGATCTGATGACGGTCTACATGATAAATGAGGGTATTGGGGAAAGGAAATACGCGGCCGCGCATAATACTTACGTGCATGGAATAGGATTAGGAATCGGGAGTAGATGTCAATACTACATGATGCACTTGGAAGGTAGAGGATTAAATCATCAAATTTGGTTTGGGCATAGTTTGGTGGGATGTGGAGTGAGGAGTAAAAAGGGATTTTTGTGATCTTTTTGGTTCTTGTAACTTTTAAGAAGAGAAATTGAAAGGATAACAAATGTAAGATGGTGATTTTTTTCCTCTTGATGTGAAAGTTACAGTGATTAATTTTGAGATCATATGAGGTTTTCTTGTTGTGGAAAGATGGGAGTGAAAGTGAATTGATGTGATGTAGAGTGATATGGAGTGAGATTAAATTTGTGATACAGATGGATGAGAGTCGGGAGTGTATGTTTATGTTTGTGTTTATATACCTAGTAAGGTTATGTCTATATTTGTATCCTGGGACAAGCTTTCTCTTATTGGAGTTAACTTTTGCTTTGCTTTGACTTTGATTTGGAGGGGTATAGAAGTTGAATGTCGAAGTTGATATATTATGGCATATATAGTTAGTGTATAATATCTATATCGTTTGTGTAGTATGGTTGTTGATTAGGAGGGATAGGAGGGATAGGAGGGATAGGAGGGAAAGAAGTGTTTGCGGAAAGATTTGTAGGGGAAGGAAATATGTAGATCGGGAGATAGAGATGGGAATAGAGAGAAATTAGCATGCTTCTATTCATTATACAATCGAAATCCTGCGAGTTTACTTGTGAAGATGAAAGAGGTTGGGGATGGGGAATGGGGTGAAGGATACAGAATGAATAGGGAGGTAGGTGTACATTTGTGGTAAATGGAGGAAAGGAAGGGAAGGGAAGGAAGGGGCTGGGATTATGGATTTGAGAAAAAGAAATTTGGGGGGGGTTAGATGGTTTGTGGATAGGTGGTTTATGGATAGGTGGTTTATGGATAGGTGGTTTATGGATAGGTGGATGGATTTATGGTGTTTGTTTGAGAGATTTAGATTTAGATTTAGATTTAGGGAGATTGGGTTTTGGGGTTGGGATGCGGTGGAAGAGTTCTATTTGTGTTTTGTACGAGGAGGGAATTGAAGTATTAGAAGTGTTGAGAAGTGGCAGTGGAAAAATCCGGGGGTTTTTTTTCTTTGTAGGGGGGATGGGAACGGGAGTGGGAAGGGGAACTGTAAGGGGAATGGAGTTGTTTTTGTAGATGTAGGATAATAGGATATAGAAGAGTGAGGGAGGATGGAGTTATGATATTCGTACTATTTATTGGTTGAGAGATTATGTGTTGATCGATTGTAATTGTAATTGTAATTGTAATTGGGATTTTATGTTTATTTATTCTAGATAATGGGGATGGTGATGGTGATGGGGTGAGGTGATTCGTTATGGTTACAGTGACTCGATGTATGTGTATGTGATTGAGAAAAAGGTGTGGGGATTGGATTTCAAAGGAATGATGGAGTGGATGGAGTGGTTGTGGATGGAATTGAGAGGAGATTTGAGATTTGGCTTTGGTTTGTTTTGGATTTGGTGATGTGAGGTGAGGTGAGGTTATGAGATGGGATGGGATGGAATGAGATGATTTTTTTGAGGTTCTGGAGGGATTAATAGTTCGAGCTGTAGTGATTTCCTCAAGGCACCTAGGTAAGGTACTTGATTTGGGTGACTTGTTCGCTTAGGTGTGTAGAGCATCACTAGAAGAGGTGACGAGATAAGTTGATGTGGATGTGGGGTAAGACTTTGGGAAATCTTCTTGGGGGGAAGGTTTCGTGTACAGAGATTTTTGGGAATAGGGAGGGTTGGATGGATTATGATGCTGGTGTTGATGTTGGTGTTGGTTTTGATGTTGATTTGTTTTTGATGGGTGGGGAAGGGAAGGAGAGAGTAAGGTGGAGTGGTATAAGTGAAAGAGAATATAGAGGATGTTATTATGATGACAGGGCTTGATGATGTCTATTGCGGCGCGGTGAGGTGAGGAGGGGAGGCTTAGAGTAATGGAACTGGGGAAGTAACGAATTGAATGGTTAAGGATTGAGAGATGGCAGGGTGGTAAAAGAATTCAGGATGCTGGAGCTCGAGGGATTCGAAAGAACTGGATTGAAAGGCCGAGAATGGAGAGACGGCGAGGTAGGATGAAGTACATGACATTGGGCAGGAGGATGAGAAGGGTTGAAAGAGGATGAGATATATGGTAAGATAGATGTTATGAATGGAGTTTTGTCAAACGCAAGTGCGTTTAGGGATACGCAGTCCGCGTATCTTGAATGAGAGATAGCAGCGAGTTGGGGTATTGGTTGCGATATTTCCACTTCAGCTGTTCATCATTCCCATCGTTAGATATGGCCAGTACATGAACAATATTAGGATAAAATAGCTTCTATTCCAAGTATGAAACCAGTTCTAAAAGTCGCTCATATCTCTGTCTCTGGTATACATATATTTTTTTTCTTAAAAAAAACTAGAACAATATGTTAGCAAGTCTGCTGCCATAGGATGTATTACTATGAGTCTATGACTTACTTCACATCTACCATTAGTCCAAGCAGATAGCTTGCTCCTTCGATGTACCACTGGCTCTATAAGCAGCGATTCTTCGCTCCCTTTCCTGTCTCACAGCTTGTTCCCTGGCTTGTTCCCTGTCTCGTGCCCTTGCTTGCCTTTCTGCGATGGTAAATTTGGGCCGTCTATAAGAATAAATGTTAGCAGATACACGAAAATACTCGTAATTTGCAGGGAACTTGTATGTTGAAAGAATGTATGAAATTATCTCAACGATTCTAATCATCTGAATATTCAATTTGAGAGATTCAAATCTCATCATTGTGGGACTGTAGGCTAGACTATTGGGACCTTTGATTGTCAAAAGAGGAAGGAGCACTTACATGAAACCATGGTTGATACACATGCCCATGTTTGCAGCAAGATATGTATTCGCTTCTTGCAGGGGTGTGGGGACGGGGGCGGCAATTCTCTGATCCTCCGCAAAATTCTTCTCAAAATCCTTATAGAACTCAGCATCGAAGCCGTCATCTTCTGCGTCCTCGTCGACCTGGCTATTTTCAACTTGTGGCTCAGGCGCGAGGTCGACGACAGCAGCGGCTTCTTGCTCGGCAGCGAGGTTAGGGGCGGGGGCAGGGGCAGGGTCGGCGGCTTCGAATTCTTCATATGCTTTATCGAAGTCTGCATCGAACTCTTCAGCAAAGCCATTCTCCTGAGCGTCCTCGTTGACCTGACTGTTGTACTCTGATTGTGCGGACATTGTTGAATTTTGAAGATATGGTTTGGGAATAGTATCTAGTAGTGGAAGAACGTCTGGGATGAAAATAATCTCGAGATTTGGTTGATGTACGACTGCTAGAATCAGGAGCAATTTATATATATATAAAACCATATTTCCATCTGGACCAGCTAAGCTACCCCAGATTCTGTTTTGGTGCCGGTTGTGAGTTGGTGTTTGGTAGTTCATGTCTAGTGCTGGATCTACGTCTTTGAGAAGACTATAGTCGTGGTTGATAGCTCACATGAAGCCACTAGCTCAGAGCCAAAACTCAGTAAGTACTAAGAGAGCTCTGTAAAGGGTTTAATGGTTCAGGATCTATATCAACGTGTCTAGATCACATTATGACTTACGATTTGATATCAAGAGTCACAATCTGCTGAAGGAAACTATGTGTAAAGTACAAGTCGATCTATAAACATTATCTTACTATAGTTTCATAGCTAGAAGTACATACGAATGTTCCTCAGAAATGAATCTTTGGGATATTACAACGTCCGTATAGTGTATTTGCTCCATAACTCATCATGAATCACAGCCGGAATCTCGAGTTCAATCAAAGTCTCGAAAGCCGTTGAATTTTCGAACTTTAATCTGGCTGTCAACACTAACATTTAGAAAGACGTATTGGTCTGGTACTAGCTCCGAAGCTAGTCATTCTGGCTTCGCGTACTAGATCATAGTTTATCACGTGTAGATTATAATTTACACAAAATGGCATACCTCTGCGATTTTAACTTTGACGGGTCAAGAAATCCGTATATACGAATGGTGCAATTCAATTACTGAAATTTAGTTCCTCTATGACTTAATAGTAGTCAGGTATACGATTTGGCATGCCATGAATATCCTGAAGAAATCTTGGATCTCGCTTTTCTTTAGCGAACATAATATCCTAGAGTGTTCTCCAATTCAAAAAGGGGAGAAAAAAGGTGCACATGATTAAGTCGACACTGAGCGATAGAATATGACATGTGATCTGTTAGACTGAAAAGATTTAATTACGCTGCTGAAAGTTTCCTCTTAAAGGGCACTTGCTTCCTCTTCTGGGAAGCAATTTACACGCTAGAGTTTTTAGTATGTATTCCACTAAAATGACGGTTTATTGTGACAAGTCCCTCTTACTTAGTATAGAGCTAGTGATACTTAGTTGAAGATGGATCATGTCATTAGACTCGGTATGTTGAGGTAATTCAACAATATAACAAATTCACATTCTCCTAAAATCTTGATCAATTTCATAACATAGAATAGCTATGTGAACAATCGCTTTCCCAATTATGAATGAGCCACTTGTTTAAGAGAGACGAATACATTCCGGAGCGCCTCAGCAGCCTATTAAGATCATTACTCAAGAAAGCCTCCGAGCATAGTCGGATTGCGAACCGGTTCAAGAAGATGAAAATATCCTCAATACGCCGCCCCTACGCCTTTTAAGCCGTGAGAAAACCCGCAAACCCCGTTCTAGAATTTATAATCAGGATCATTCGATCTTCACTTCCCTACTCCCCCAATCCATGGATTAATGATCAATGATGTATTGATTAGATAGATCGGACTTCGCTATGGAAATACAAGGGAGATGTTTGTTTCCTTTCTTCTTGCCGTGCCGCCTGTGGCTGTATTGCCTGCTTCACTTCTTAGCCGCCTTTTGCATGTCATGGTTCGATAGACTTCCAGAACCATGCTGGAAAAACCGTCATATTCTAGAAGAAAACTGAAACATCAGTTTGAAATTATTTTCTGGGTGGCTTTGAAATTCTGGTGATTTTGGGGTTTGATGTATATTGTTCGAAGCTGGAATTCTTAAAATGATTTTGAGATGTAAATCTTGTAATTGTGAGTAGTGAAAGGAAACGACACATTGGTCAATATCATATCTTACCTTTTTGATTCTGACAATGTCCATTTAAATCTCCATACCGTGATGTAAAGTAATATTTCGCTTGGTAGGCTATGTCGACCGAGAATCACGCTCTGCCCAAGCTATCACGTTCGATTGTCTTCAACCATCCACAATTTCTTGGATCGAGAAATTTTCTTGTCATCAAATAAGAGCATTCGCATTTCGAGCTTGTATTGCACCCCATCAAGCGTGCTTATATTGACAACACTCTTTGCTGCGTGTTAGACGGTCACTAAGTTCGCCGATATAGCTACCATTCATCTCAGAAGAATAAAATTCATCACTTCCAGACCTTTATCACAAACTTGAAGGCCAAGCTCGAAGCTATTTTTATCATCTATTCGAAGAGTGGAATTTCTATACAGGGCTGAAGAAATTGATAGGCTGTGCATCAGAAATATTTGAAATCAGCTGGGTTTCGATGACGTTTACAATTGTGAACCGCCTCCAAGATCTAGTGTAAGATCTTACGGTATAGACTGAGAAGTGATATGATATATTATTGGAAGGGTGGTAAGAATAGAGTATTGATAACTTTTGGAAATCAGCTTTGAGTGTACGACAACTTTGGAATATTGCTTTACAGCGTCGGAACGAAAGGTTTACGGTTGCGGACGAGTCAATTTCTATTATTGGCTCAGATGAAACATTAGCCTTACCGACCTAGTGACTATTAGCTTAAACTAGACTCCTTCCCCGGATATCCGTGCGACATCTGCCACACTACTAGATGGTCATGTGATCACCATAAACCTTGGAATTCCAGATAGGCATGCGAGTGGATTTCGCATATTGAGAGTCGAATGTTGGAATCTTTGAGTTTGAAGTATATTGTATATCCGGACTGTTGGTAATACCTGACCCTGTTGAGAAAATGATCTACGCAAGGATCGCGAGAGGTTTTGCATATACGGAGACGGTCCAGCAGCCGAAATATCACAACCTCAAAGAACATTTGTTTTTTGCTTACCCCCCACATCCAGAGAGACGTTGTGTGTGAATATATTATCATGCCAATGGAACACCAAAAGGATACGAATATCAAATCAGCTGATAGTGACCAGCTGTACGCCAGTGATTTGCTGCAACTTTGGTATTCGAGGTTGTACAAACTCTACACATTTTGAGCCCCTAGCCCGCCGACGTGGGACAACACGACGGGAAAGCATGTGTAAACATGCAGGCGAATCCCAGAAGAAGATCTCATGCGGACGATTTTTAATCGCCCAGACAACCTTTAATAGAGATGAATCTCAACAATTTTGGATCTCGCATAGTTGCGATAGCAACAAATTTCAGTATAGAGATGTCATTAAAGCCCGAAGCCAAGATTCCGGGATGTAACGCAATTCCTGTACGACTAATTATATTCCACCATCGAATTTGAGGATTTTTTGAATGTTCTTTCAATCCTCAGCTATGCACCGAGTTGAAACATTCATTGGGTCGTTTGATTCCCGAGAACGCAAACGGACTCAGTTTGCTACCGCCACCAACAATTGCATGACAATATTCTCGTCATCGGGGACTCCAATATTCCAAGATATTGGTATCGGGTTGGCAGAAAAATAGTTTCAAAGTTGCAATTGGAAATGTTTCACAAAAGCGGCTGTGAAACCCACGAAATGTGCCAACGAAAAGCAGTAATATAATGAAATTAGAAATGCCGTGACTTTATCAAGACTCAGTTAGCCCTGCATGATCTACAGCGTGGCTTTAATGGCTTTCCGGCTTTTACACCTTTTGCCCAGGCTACCTACCATGTAGTATCTGAGAATAGCAACTTTATTCTCAACTACATTGGTTTGCTCAACGCAATCTAGTACATATTGTTTACTATTGTTTGACTTCAAGCCAGTGAAGTAGAGACATATATCTACGGTACATCGAATACGAATTCGAATTCGAAGCCATAGCCATAGCCAAGTTATCCATTCTTAATTTTGTTTAAAATTAGTCCCTTTTTAACCCTCCAACGGGCTCAGGTCTAACGCCGAGCTGAATTCTCTACCTACAGATTTCCTACAATATCGATGACACTTTGAGACTACCGTTCTCTTATAAATTCTCCCTCTCCCCTTCATTATTTCCCTTCGTTGGACAGCCACAGTTTTCTCGTTACACAGCATTTGTTTATCATCGTTGTTACACTCCAAAAATGGCATGGATGAAGGGACTACTTACTAGAGCGGCTTCGTTGCATGCTTCGTTATCTCAATATTCTACTAATGGTCAGTGATCTATAACTACTGGAATTGAAATTACTGACTTCTATTATAGGGCTATCTACATATGGGTGTTTGAACGCATCCACACTTCCTCCATTTCTAAATGATGGTGGTGTATGTTCACTTAGTGTCAAGCACATAAGTTGGTCTCTCGCTAATTTGATCATAGTCATATTACGGACACCCTTGGGGAAACGCCAAGCCAGGACCACACCTACCACCCAATACTGGAAAGACTCGGCATTATGATCTCACAGTATCCAGATCTATCAAAGCACCAGATGGATATCAGAAAAGTGTTATCTTAATCAATGATCAATTCCCTGGACCTCTCATCGAAGCAAACTGGGGAGACACGATTAGCGTCAGAGTCACAAACAATATTACCGATAATGGAAAAGAAGGGCTGAGTCTTCATTGGCATGGTCAACCACAGAAGCTGAGTCCTTGGGCGGATGGTGTACCATCCGTCACTCAATGTCCCATTGCCCCTGGAAGTAGTTTCACATACGAGTTTCGAGCCGAGTCTTTTGGAACCAGCTGGTATCATTCTCATTTTAGCGCTCAGTACAACGATGGCCTTTTTGGGCCATTGATAATTTATGGGTAAGAGAACCTTCATCAAAACTTCAATAGCTTACTAAAATTTCAAAGTCCCAATCACGTAGATTATGATATTGATCTTGGACCCGTCATGCTGGTTAGTAATTTTGCCTTTCAATTTTGTTTTGATACTGATTTGCTACAGTCTGACTATCTTCATCAATCATATCGTAGCATGGTCGTAGGCATCGCGACAAAAGTTCCGAATGGTCCAATATTCCCACATGTTGACAATAACCTAATCAATGGAAAAGGGTCATTCAATTGCAATTCCACCTTGGGTGGGACTTGTACACCGGATGCAGGGCTATCCAAATTTAAGTTTACCAAAGGCAAGACGCATCGTCTCCGGCTCATTAATGCTGGTAGTGCAGGCACGCAAAAATTCTCAATTGATGGACACCAACTTCAGGTTACCACGGTCGATTATGTTCCAATCGTTCCTTATACTACTAACGTGGTAACTCTTGGAATTGGACAAAGAGCTGATGTCTTAGTTCACGCAACGGGAGAATCGACCGATGCTGTCTGGATGCGATCTGATTTGGATGTTCCATGCATGCTTCTGACTTGCACAAATCCTCATGGTTTAGCAGCAGTTTACTATGACAACGCAAGTACAACACTTGCGCCGACAACGACAGGCGTATCATGGGACAGTAACGATTGTGCCAATGTCAGAAATCTCACCCCGTGCTGATGACTGAATATGCTGACATGAATCATAGGACCCGTTACATTTAACCATTCCATACACCGAAATAAGCCCACCCGAGAGCCCGTCCATCACACAGGACATGGAAATCAATGTTGGTGTGAATGGATCTGGCAGTGCCCTCTTCACTGTGAATAATTCGACCTTCCGAGCTGACTACAAGTAAGCTTTACGTTCTCACACGACCCTTCATACAATGACTGACCAATCTAGCTCACCACTCCTCCTTCTTGCCAGCCAAGGCACTCCCGTCTCAACCCTTCCTCACGATTGGAATATCTACAACTTTTCCAGTCACCCTTCTATCCGCATCCACGTCACCAATATTTGGGATACACCTCACCCTATGCATCTCCACGGACACGATTTCTTTGTCCTCGCTGAAGGAAAGGGGACTTGGGACGGCACCATCACAAACCCATCTAATCCCGTCCGTCGCGACACAGCACTTATGAGACCCGGTTCGCCATCCGATCCCAGTTTCCTCGTGGTAGAATTTTTCGCGGATAATCCTGGAGTTTGGCCATTCCATTGCCATACGAGTTCGCATGTTAGTGCAGGGCTTTTGGTGAATATTTTTGAGAGACCGGATTTGGTCGCTGAGGGAAGAGATCAGAGAGGTATGATTCCACAGGTGGTTAAGGAAACTTGCGATGCTTGGAATGCGTATACTAGTGCTGGAGGGGAAGTTGATGAGATTGATTCTGGATTGCGTCGTCGAAGATATTAAGGTGATAGATGATGGGGGCTTGCATTTTATTTTTTAATCATGGCGTACCATGAAGCTTGGCTTTTCTTCTTCTTTTTCTTCGATTCTTAAATGAGATAATGGTACTGATTGCGCCTCAGGAGTACAATGAGTAAAGATAATTTATTTGAACATTTTTATTTATTTTCATTTCGTAATTAGAAACATGGTATATGGAAAGATAACTACCTACTGTCCTTAAAATGTCCATCTTTTCATACATTGGTGGATGGAAATAATTTAAGTGTTTTGAATCCTGGGACTGCAGGTCTGGTGTATCTAACAATCTGAACCATGGTTAAACAAAAGGTTTCTGAATACTTCTTCATTTTAGAAATTGACTGGATTTGGAAAATTGTCTTCATTTTGGCATCTAATAACAGCCATTTATAAATTCAATTTTGAATGAATCACACAAATGTTATTTTCGACTGGCGAGTAGCAATTTGATTTTGCATTAATCGATTCATTCGGTCATTGTCTTAACGAACGAACATATATACAAGTTCAATATCTACTCTTTTTGAGAGAATTAACCTCATTTTATTCTTCATACTCATTGCAAATGTATCCCCATTGCCTCATCCAGTTGTCTACACAATCTCCATCGATCCGGTCTATACTCTTCAAGGTTATACTTCCCTCGATGGCCTTCTCCGTATCGAGCCAGACTTGTGACCTGCCTTCCTTCTTCTTCTCGACCAGACCCTCATAGAACCCAAGAATTTTTACTGCTGGGTTATCATGTATTTTCATATCCTGTGTATTCGCTGCACTATCATGTAGACGCTGGACCCATTCTTCGAAGGTTATAGTGGGAAGATCTAGAATCAATTGTAGTCGAGGAAGAACAGCATCTGAGTATGTTGTTCGCTTTGGGTTCACGAGATGGAAGACTCTGGGTGATTCAGAAGAAGATTCAATCGGCGAATGCGACTCCAGTGTATCGTGATTCGAAGATGTTACAAGTTCGTAAACGATTTTCCCAAGTATATCAACGGGGATCCAGTCAACAGCTTCCAGTGGACCCAACGACGAAGGTAAAGCCTTCAGATACGTTGAAGACTTCACAATCAAAGGAAACCATTCCTGTTCGTTCCACTTTCCCTCACTGCTTTTCGGACCGGCAATTTGACCCACTCGGTAGATCGAAGCAGGAATATTAGAAATCTTACAGGCAGTAGTAATCAGCCGCTCTGCAACAAATTTTGATTGGCCATAACCTAAGCCTTGTGGAAGCGACCAGTCCTCATACGGAATCTCGGGAACACGGGGTTGTATTGATGGTTCCGATTCTGACTGCGATGGCGGGGAATAGCCGGAAGAACTGGGCGTATCGGGTCTGTTGACGTCCCCATTCCCAACAGTGCTGATACTGGAGATGAAGTGAATGGAAGCACCGAATCTTGAGTGAGCCGAGAAATCAATCAGCTGACGAACACGACCAATATGTGTTGCACCCATTTGGCTAAAGGACAAGTTAAAGTCAACATGCCAAGCATTGTGAATGATGTGCGTTACTTCATTGAATAGCTTCTTGTATTGGTAAAGCTTTATACCAAGCCATGCTTCCGTAGCACCAGTCGCCATGCTGAGAAAACGGACACGGCTAAAATCTGTTGAAAGGCCCTTAGACGAGCTGGAAATTAGCTGACGTTTCTCGGTATCTTCTCCTCTATTGAGGCAATAAACCTTGCATGTCTTGTCTTCTTCAAGCAGGTTGCTCAAAAGGTATGAGCCCAAAGATCCAGTAGACCCAGTCAATAGAAATACTTTGGGTCCAGTGACTGGTGTCGATGGCCTAGCAATAATAGGTAGGTCAGAGACGAAACGTTCGTATTCTTCCTGCATTTCCCCATAATTTTCATTTTCGTCTTCTGCTGAATTTGAGAGGGCGCGTGCTAGTTTTTCTGGACTTGGATATGCATATATCATTGACTCGCGTATCGAATCCCGTGGAGGATCCTGTGTTTCGAACGCCGAATTCACTGCCCTTGTCAATGAGATCACGCCTAGCGAGTCCAACCCATGCTCAAAGAAATTGTCAGATGGAGAGAAGTTTTCGAATCCTTGGAGATTCGAGATGGTTCGCATGATTGCACCTTGCAAGTCAGAGCTCGCAAGCTTATTCAGAGAGCTATTTCCGCTTGTATTATTGTTTGTTCCCTGCCCGTTAGCATTTGTTTCATAAAGACTATTGAGCTCTATTTCATATAGTTTTTCGGCTTGCCTTCGTTGTACTGTACCTTTCCCAGCTCTGGGAAATGGTTTATCAGGTTTGGTAAATGCGACGAAGTTCTTGCTCATTATCTGCGCATGCGCGGGACAACTGACATTTGAAATCTTTATTGTTGGCCATAATTCATCTAATAGGGAGTCCTTGGACTTCTCGGAATTTATAGGTTCGATGAGCAAGGACGACTGAAATTTCTTAGTACCATAGACTATGGCAGATCTGACTTCAGGATGAGAGTTCAAAGCATTTTCCATGCTAATTGGATTGAATTTCTCCCCTGTAGAATAAACAATGATATCATCAGAACGGCCTTCATGGCGCCAGAGGTTGTTTTTGCTAGGGTGCTTAGAAAATAAATCCTGAGTTTTGTATTCTGAAAGATCTGGAAACGTATAGAAGATTCCTTGATATGCTTCTATCGATGGATCACGAACGATCACAAGCTCATATAGTTCGCCTGAATAATGCTGCATTTCAACACCGAATGATGTAGAAAAGTCAAAGTAGTCCCACTAGATCATGACAGAGTCAGTAGGCATACATTCAAGGCTGGATGAAGTGAAAGAAATATCCATAAAAACAAGTTTAGATGTAAAATGCTTACATTTTCTTCGGGTGGTAAAGCCGCTTGAATATGTCCCGTCTCCGTTGACCCAAACCCCGCGAACAACCGAGTATGAGATTTGATTATATCTCCAGGGTCATTGGGTAGTGGGCCGCCTCCGGTCATGATATATTTGACAGGACGAAGGTTCTCTAGATACTCAGGGACCTTCGATATTTCCACTAGCACGGCAGGGGGAAGATCTGCGACCTGCACTTTACCATGTATATGAACCTCATTTGCTAATTCTGCAGTCAATGGGACAGGCGGTGGAAGCATCGCTATCTGCTTGAAGTATAGCGCAGTCATTATCCTGTAGACACCAGCGGCATCTTTCCATAATCATATGTAAGCGACATCTTTGAAGTTTCTTGAGGTCGAAAAGCACGTTATAACTATGAAAGATGGATTTGAAGTCTTGCCTAGAGCTGAGCCTGAGCAACAAGGGATGAGAGTACATACGAAATAGTGGGAATGTCAAAAAGCACCGTAAACCTCGCCAATAATCAGATGCTGTGGCGATACCATAGAGTGAAATAGCCTTCTGAGAGGCATCTAGACTTGTGATAACACCTTGTGGTATGACGATAGGCTTGGGTGTTCCTGTGGTCCCAGATGTATGCATTGCAGCAAGCGGCTGAAATCTAGCCTCTTCAAATGCTGCGGTGTACTTGTAGTGAGGTACATCAAATCCAGGATGAAGAAAATAATCTAAGGTAGGAACAGCTATGGTTTGAAGGTCAACCTTAGTTTGAATGTCATTAACAATCTTACGAGATACCGGAGAGTCCTTTGCAAATAGAAATTTCTCGCATCTATAATCTTGTAGTAGTTTGGTATGTGCTTCTAAGCTATTCCGTGGGGATGGCACAAAAAGCTACCAAAAGTAAGTCGGAGTGAACAAGGTGTGAATAGGGTGACAGACCTTGTGTCCAGTTTTGATTGCCGCTATTATCAGGAGTATATACCGCAGATCATGGGGACCGATATAGGCAATACAGTCAAAGTCTGTCCCAATGCCAGCGTTGCTTTCAACCCAGTTAGACGCGACATCTATGGCTTTGTCTAAATGACTGAATGTGATGTCCTCGAATCCATCACGTGGCTCGGAAGTCAAAGGACTAGATATGCACACTCGATGAGGCTCATCGATCGCAGTTTGATGTATATAATGAGCAATCAATCGCTTTCCACAATCCCGAGGCAGTTCCGAAATTGCAATTTCTATCGCCATGTCTATTCTAGGCAGCGGAAGACAATCGAACTGCAATTTGGTGAAGCTCTTTCGCAAAAGTCAAGATTTGTGTACCTTGCAACTTCGGTCTGTGTTAGCATATATATATAATGTTCAAGGTCTTTCCGAAAGGGTGAGCTTTTAGGCGCTTACTATTATCATTGGCGTTCTCGATCCAAGTATTTTCTCTATTCAACAATTAGTTTGACAATTATTCGATCTCCATAAAAGCATCTTAAATTGTAAACTCGAGAAGTGAGTGTAAAGCAAAGGATATTATGATAGAACAAGGAAGTTATGTTGGGTAATTCATACATGAGTAACAGATTGCTCAAATACTTGAGACCATCAAGTCATAATCATGCGAGGACCGAGATAAATTGACGGTTGCTATCATCAAGTAGTCTTTCAGCTCACCTCCCAAAGGTGATTTGGACATATTGGGACGATCTTGCATAGGTGCAATTTCATAGGCGTGGGAATATATGCCAAGATTTCATCAGCTTGCATGACTAGTGAGCAATAGCCGAGTGATAATGCAGACGTGTTCCTGTATCAAAAGTCGAGATGATCTGTTGAACTCAGTCTCAAACTTCAGGCAATACCAAACTAGGGAGCTTTAAGTGCAATCGCATTCAAGATTTCATTGAAAACTAGAATGTAAATGTAATTGTTGATCCTATCAGGACTTCTATCAGATGAAGGTAAATGATCTACTTCAAGAATCCTGATTGCAAAGTACGGAACCAGTTTTCAGGGATAAGATACCGCCTTGCAGGGCTAGCTGCATCGACTGAAGAGCAGCGATCTACATGGAAATCTTCTTGACTCAAGTAGCGAAAAAGACTGAAATGCATCTCGTATAAAAGTGAGGCAGAAACTAGCAAGTCATCAGACAAAAGAAGACAGTCATTCCGGGATAACTTATAATGTTCACTTGAAACATCCTGGCAACACAAGAGCGTAATGAAATCTTGCAAGACGCGAATTTCCCGTAGGACACGTCTTAGGGATAAAGAAATCTTCATATGCCGAAGAGATTCTGTGAAGAGAGTACTAGTGCTACAAAAGTCTCATAAGTAGTTGAATTGCTTGAAATAATAATCGAGAGTTCTTACCTCATGAACGACCTCTTGCATAATCATTTGTGGTACTGCTGAAAAACAATTTTGCAAAAGAACCGAGCATCATTTGTTGCTTCATTGAAGTAAAAAACGGCTTCTTATAGATTAGGATGGCTTGTGAGAATGGGAAGTTGGTTGTTATGTGATTTGACAGCCGATCGATGTGTTTGATCTGCTCGAGATGTGGAAAGTGCCATGAAGAGGAGAGCAAATAGCGCTAACCTTCACCGCCATGTGGCAGTAAATTCAGCCTTCTCAGCTGAGTTCATCGATCTGCTTGACAAACCTTGGAATGTTATATATTACCACAACATGTCACCGATACAGGTACCGAATTTGCTTGTAGATTATAAAATGTCTGGAATTTTTCCTGGCTTTTGGGGATCCACCATGTAGCCCTCAACATATAGGAACAGTTCTCACCGCTCTCTTAGGATTAAGCTTTAACCTAATATAGAGAAATATATGTTGTGATCTGCATCATATAAGATTTCTTCTTGCTGAATATAGGGCAGCTCTTTGCGCATTCTGCCGACGATTGATCCCAAGTAATAATGACAGAAAATTCGATTACACAGCAAGCCATCAACCACATCAGGTGAGGTTGACCGATGGTGGCACATCTATTGATGTATCTCGAACGAAAAGTGTCGTCAAAACATTCAATTTATGACCGATAAGCTTACATTGCAATCAATGTCATACTTGGCAAAATAGATCATATGCAAGATGATCGATCAGAACAGAAACGTCAGCACTAATCCGAATGGACACGGCAATCTTCATACACCATGAATATACTGGTCGGAACAGAATTTTCAGCAGCGCCGCGTGAACTCACGGAGCTGAGAAGAGGATACATGCTTCTCCAAGAATTAAAACTGGTTCTACGAGGAGTAACTACACCGAATATAGTAGGTGTCATCGATAAGTAATTGCCGGCAGCAATAAGAGTAGATTCTCTCAGCTGGACGTGGGGCCGCTAGTGTCCTCGGTTCTTGAATTCACGGTGACGTAAATAGATACAGCTCTTCCCGAGGTATTCTTCTCCTCAGATCTCGGTAATCTTGTAAGCGATCTTTTATAAGGTTATGTGTGTAAACTTGATGCAAGGATAAAGTCTTTGATCGACTGTATACCACCACACAAGAGCTACATCAGTACCAGAGTTTTTTGTATGCAACAAACTTGTATACTCAGTATTTGTCCAAGGAATAGTAACATTGGGTAGAAATACAATCTATCATCCTCTTAAATTCCTGAGTTTCGGGACTAGAAAGTCCATTTTTTTTAAAGATGCTATACTCATTATTGTCAAGTGATTTGGAATGAACTTGTGTTATTTATATTGAAAACGTAAGATGCGCTAAAGAGTTGGAAACGCAGATGTCTCTTGGAGAAAACCTTTCACCATGCCTCTAAGTCTAAGTTTTCACATACTCGACTTGTTCGGCTGAACTTCTTCAACATTGATGAGTTCATGCACCCACTGTAGCCATCCTTGGTCAAGACTATGATAAAAGAGTTTCACTGACATAGATCAGAACCATTTCTCCGCTAACATCATCAAAGTACGAATTTGAGGGAACCAAGCCATTCTATCTCCAATTTCCAGTGCGAAAACCGCATGCAAGAACCTTTGTCTCAAAATTCAAAACCATTCTCCTTCTCCTAATTCCCCTTCCCATTTTTCATCGGATTCATTTGCAAACCAAACAGAAGAATTTTTTTCCATACTTGAAGTTTAGAGAGCCTCAACAGCCGAATTATCTCCAGACAAGTGTATGGAGAGGGCAGTATTCCGTAGTTGGTAGTACCAAGGCTTCTGACGCGACAATACTTTGTCCTCAGACCTGCTCGTATACTCCGGAATAGTATGACACTATGAGAAGATTCTCAATAAAGAATTGTGTCTCTGTGTCTTAGAAGTGCTGATACCCAAGGTATACAACGCTGCTGTCTCTCGAATAATAACAAGCAGTGGCATGTACGAGGTATTTCATGCAAGGGCCGCTACTCAGACCATAGAATATCAGAATATGAGGATCCGAGAATGATCTATGACTTTCCATCCTGCTATTAGCGTTCAGGGTATCACATGCTGTCTCGAGCTCGTTAAAGATGCACGTAATCTTTTTCTCGTCTCATGTCGAGCCATTTTAGACTGCAGATGAGTTTTCGTGGAAGTATCACCATATATCATCAGGATTTACCATATGGTTATCGTATCTATCCGCCCGTCTTTGTCCTAGAAAATAAGGATTAGTTTAATGACATCGAAAAAACCACCTTCTCACGGTCGCTTGTATTGGGGGTCTCCATTCCGTATTGAAAAGATGTATCTGCCGCCAATTGATTGTTGTGCTACCCTTATACAAACGACCTTTGCACGACTGACACCAATTCTCTGAACCAGATTTTCAATAAGAAAGACAACACTTACTCGCTTCCTCAACATCTCTTCTCCACTTTTTGAAATCATGCCAAAACTCCCACACCCTCCCAAACACCCTCCCCAATTTCGATCGAATCTTCGCCATAGTATTTCCCTTTTGAAATTTCTTCTCTCGCCGACTTTTTGCTGCTTGTCCGGCACATCTCATGGTGTCTAATCAATACATCAATTAGGAAGTACTTCTTGCGCAACACGGACAGTTTTACATACCAGATATCTGCACTCCAAAAGTCGAACTCCTGATAGAAGACATGAATATCACCTCTCCGACTCATCAATTAGACAACTAAGAAGCAAGCAAGCAAGCAAGCAAGCAACAAAAATAAGAAATAGAAGAAGTAATCAAGCCTTTTCTTCTACCACTCTATTCAACGCCACCAACTCGTTAAAAAAATGACGGGGATAGGCACAGAAGAAGAAGGCGTCATAGAAGCGTAGCCAACAATGTGATATGATTCGTAACACTGTGATATAAAAAACATACACAGAGGCGTGGCTTCGGTACGATGTAACGGAAGAACCAAACAGTTAAATAAGCTTATTGTAACGGTTGGTGTAACATTGAGAAAATAGATAAGGCTGAATCCGACTGTATCTACCCCGCCAGATCACAAACAATCGGACATGAGGTACGAGTAGATGAGGGAGGCTTCCTTCTCGCTCCAATACGCCTCGATAATATGTTAGAAGATCAGCATTGAAAATAGCAGAGCGGACCAGAAAAAGGAAAACAATCAGTCAAAGCGAATGAAGGAATTGACACTCATTCTTACAGCCCCCTCTATTTATTAAAATATTCCTTCGCAGAGCCTCGGCGATGCATTTCATCCACGCTCCTTCTTTTAACCTTTCCAACACCACCAACCCCCACGCCAACGCACAAAACCCATTCAAACGGTTCAAAAACCCATACAAAGATACTCGCGATCGCCTAAACTACTCCCAAAACACACGATAGGCGTGTAACGTTGTACGGATGAACCCCGCTCGTCCAACCATTTTTACCATGCCCCATTTAAACACCAGGGCATTTCTGCATCCGCGCCGCATTGTTGCAGAAGACTTGATAAAAATTTGTTCTGTCGCCGAGTTCATTTAGCCGGTTCGCCAACCAACATGAATGGTACCGAACTGTCGGGTCGATGGATCGGGCTGAGCCGCCCTTTGAGTACCGAAAGTCCGGGCTTGAGCTCATGAGCCCTGCTTTCCGCGATGATTGAAACGGCATAATGATGTTTGGAAGAAAATAGAGTTCCCAAGTAAGACTTTGATATGAAGCATTAATAGAAAAAATGTAGATCTCAACAGACATTGATACTTGAGGAATTATTAATAGAGCAATCAAATGAGTACTGTCAAATTTCCATTTCTCTGAGAAGCATCAGACGATATAAACCCCACTTTCCGTCGAGCCTGCTTGCTCTCGAAAATGAAACATAAGAAACTTTTATGAGATATATTATATTCGAAGTATTATTACAGCATGTGCATTGTGTCAGGTTCATACTAACAATCAATAATTAACCCCTACTTGTATGCATTAACATGTAACAAAAAAAAAACTCCAGAAACGAGAGCGATAAGCAAATGCCGCGAGTACCGCGGAGAGACCAGGAACAGCTTTATAGTGTAAAGTCAAGCAATGATGACTCTTGACGCCGCAGATATGCCTTGTTATAACCGCTACTCCGCAATCCCATCCTTCCGTCCATAATAGCCACTTCCAGTGTTTCCAGTCCTGCCCCTTTCCATTCCAGCCCACCATTTTCATCTCCCTATATCATAAATTGAATGTCGAAAATCATCAAGATCATAATGTGCTTATAGCATAGTCCCAAAAGTGCCATCGGTTGCAATGGCCTTTCTAGGACTAGACTTCCCATCATCGTCTGTGTTTGGCTTACGATGTCTGAATGTAAATCCGACGAACAAACTCTTGCTCATAGCATCTTCTCTATCGGCCATATTCTCCAAAGCCGTTTGCTTGTCATGGACTTCTTTGTATTTAGCCATATCAGCTTCGTTGCTAAAATCATCAAAGTAGCCTGCATCAGTTTCAGAGTCCAGCTCTGGTACAAATGGAGCACGTTGTGATCGAAGAGTATTCCAGTCAACCTCGGCGAAGTATTGATGCCCATAGACTTCTGAGATAGTGGAGAAACGCTTGACCTTAGATGTAATGCAGCTGAGTTTGTTAGCAAATGTTTGTCTAGTATCAAGGATGATAATTACCTGGTAATGAAGTTCCAAGTACGATTACTGATAAAGTAATTTGGATCCTCCCAAACTGGTCTCTTCAGAACTTCTCTCCAATGCTTCAAATTCTTCCAGGTTTCATCGACGGTAGCACCAGCAAATGGAGGAAATCCTGTTAAAGCCTCGAAATGCATACACCCCAAACTCCAATAGTCCACTGTGAAGTCATACTCATCTCCTTTCAACACTTCAGGGGCCATATAATCAGGTGATCCAACAATCGACTTGGCATAATTAACGTCTTTGTTTCTTAAGGATCTGTAACCTTCTCGGCGTTCCGCAACAGTACGCTCTTCGATAGGCTTGCCGAATGGAACATATGTCTCTCCGACCTTTTCAAGCTTCACTCGCATGGACTCAATCTTGCCTGGAGCAAGGAAACCTGCAGCAAGTCCAAAATCTGTGAGCTTGACATGTCCCGTTGAATCGATCAAGAAATTTTCAGGTTTCAGATCTCTGTGAATATAACCGAGCTGGTGCAAAGCATCCACACAACAAAACATTTCGGCAATGTAGAATCGAGCATGCCTGTTGGCAAGAACCCCAGTGTTGTTCAGTAAGGTTCGGAAATCACCACCTGGGACATATTCCTGAAGATAGTTAGTATAGTGCACACATATAAATAGAAGATAAATCCTACCATAGCTAAATATATGCTCTTTTCATCTTGGAATGAGTAGAGCAATCTAACTAGCCATTCGCTTTTTGCATTGGTCAAAATATCACGTTCCGTGAGAACATGTCTAACTTCGTCCAGCTTGAACAATAGTTTCTTGCTCATAACCTTCAAGGCACAAACTTCCCTAGTATCCTTTTTCTGAGCAAGGAAGACTTGTCCATAACCACCTTGTCCAACTTGTGTCAAAATTTGGAAATCTCCCTGGCGTAGACGAACTCGACGTTTGCGCAAATTGGCACGCTCTCTACCAGCGTATTTTGACCAAACTGGAATATATTCTTCTTCAGGTGTTTCTGGGGGAGCGGGATATTCTGCCTTGAAATGATTGAGTCGATTTTGACGCGATCCGACGTAACTCAAGAGGTCGTAATAGTAATCAAGGAAGTCTGCTTATTATTAGTAGTGCTACTATAAAACGACAACGAAATACTCACAGAGCTGCGTCACATTGGCCAGGCGTTTCACATTTGGCTTGTGCAAAATCTCTAATTCCTCCGCAGTCAATCCACGTTGCGTGTTGTATTTTCTAGTCGGTGGTGGTGGGATGTCCCGAGTTTGATAGAGCTCCTGGCGTGAAATCGCTGCTTGGTTCAAAGAAGGAGAATCGCGAGCGATCGCTGCTGGATTGAGCGATGGAGAATCTGTTTGTCTTGCGGCTTGAGGGGTATTGTTCTCTTTACCTTGTCGTCGTACAGGGCTTCCTGAGGGATTTGGTGATTTTTGGATGATACTCTCATCAGTATTCCCGGTAGAATTGCCAAAGAACTCATCGACTGCGCTGGCATTCGCTCCCTTCCCTGGAGTCAATGGGTTGCCAATCGGAACGCGACCAGTCTTTGTTGGACTGCTCAAATTGGCAGGAGTAAGCTTCATAGCAGAGTCGAAAGCTGTAGGCAATTCGTTGGCTCCAGGTGGATTGCGATTCTTGCTTGGACTTCCTTGGGGCGTTGAAACTGGATTTATGAAGTTGCTTCTATTGACAGGAGTGCTGGGTCGATCACCAAAACTTTCATTTTGACTAGAGCGAGTATGCAGAGGTGGTGGGGGAACTGGCAAGATATTATCATGTTTCCCAGCTTGTGCGGAGGGGAAAAGATTGGTTATGAAGCTGGACATTGTTCAACTTTCTAATCGCGGATTGGTTGTTAAGACGAATAACTCTGCAGAATGACAACGCACTTCAGACTAATGAAGGAACGGAGCAATCACAAAACGTAAAGCTCGCAGAAGGTAGTATTAAAAGGAACAAGTGCGAGTGCAGAGTGGCGGGGCTCGAAACGATTGAATATGAAGCGTTGAATGTGAACGTTCTGGCTCCACGATTGCATAGAATCCCCAAAATAAAGCGCTCTAAAGTACCTGTTCTTGCATAAGGTAGGTGGGGTCTTGGCAATTGATGTTTATTTGTGGGAAAGAGCGCTTGAGATGGGATTGAAATGGTTGCGCAGAGCAACCAGTAGGTACTAGGTAGGTATTAATTTCAAGACAAACGATGACGTAAGCGATGGGTCAAAGATAATCCATCCCATTTTTGTTTGTACTGGTACGATATGATAAAAATGATATGCATTTTGAAAGTCGACATTTGGAACATGGAAGATTACTAACTGGGTAGGTAGGCAATTGAGATACACATCTAGAGGAGACTCTATGATTCTCCTGTCAATTCATTAGATCTGCTTGACAGCTCGATACTTCTTTGCTTGATACCTAACATTTCAAACTGTGGTCTCCTACATATATACATACCTAAGAAGGGAGATTGGCATTTAAACATTCAAACATTCAAACATTCAAACATTCAAACATTCAAACATTCAAACATTCAAACATTCAAACATTCAAACATTCAAACATTCAAACATTCAAATACATACTAACGACAATCTAAATTCCTTCCTTTCCCTCCCCCGCCACTAGATAAGATCGCCATCTTTCCCAACCTTAAATTGTTACTACCTAGGCAGTCTAATTCTCACAAAACGTATAGCACCACCACCTTCAGATCACAAAACAAGCCTCACATTTCGATCCATATCCATATTACCCACCATGTTCTACAATCTCAATCCTTTTTCATCTCCCTACACCACTACCGAAATCAGCGACCTTCTGATTTATCCTATAAAATCTTGTCGAGGCATCTCAATTAAATCGTCCCGCCTTACCACTCATGGCCTTGACCTTGACCGACGCTGGATGTTCGTTTCCGGCGATGACCATAAATTCATCACAATCCGCGATATTTCATCTATGACCTTGATCGATACTGCTTTTGCTACAGCCAAATCTCCCTCTGAATCTGGCAGTGAAGATGCCGAATATCTGGTCATCAGTATTAGGAATACAGACAAAAAAGTCACGGTTCCCGCACGACCCACAGAACAATGGTTGAAAGACAACACAAGCTTGACACAAGTGGACATTTGGGATTACAAGACAGATGGATATGTATACAAGGATGAGATAAACAGCATATTCAACGATTTCTTTGAGAAAGATGTTAAGCTGGTATATAAGGGACCAACGCCCAGAATTCTGCGGGGTAACGGAGCACCAGAAATATTGGGAAGAGAGGAGAGCACAAACTTCCCAGATGTGATGCCAGTTTTGATCGCAAATGAAGCTTCTCTTCAAGAGTTAAATCAAAGATTGGCGAAGAAAGGAGCGGATGAGATCACGATTGAAAGATTTCGTCCGAACATCATTGTGAGGGGTAAAGACGAGAATACAACCGATGACACCGCACCCGCTGCATGGACAGAAGATAATTGGAAGCGAGTGAAAATAATCAACAAGCCAGACTCGGGACTTTTATCCACCGCGATGGGCTCAAATGGGTTGGATATTGATATCCAGGCTCGGTGTGCAAGATGTCAGGTTCCAAATGTGAACCCAGAAACTGCGGAAAAGAACAAACACGAGCCATGGGATACATTGGTGAGCTATAGACGTATAGATGAAGGTATCAAATGGAAGCCATGCTTTGGTATGCTGGGTGTACCTAGGTCAGACGGGCCCATTGCTGTGGGGATGAAATTTGAGGTTCTGGAAACGACAGAGGATCACAAATATATGAAGGGATTCTAGTACTTTTCTTTTTCAGCTCGGGAAATCAAGGATATCGCGTTCGATAATCGTCGTCATGCCCAGAATGTAACCATGATCATAGTAAATGTTACCACGTGTCTATCAGATAGCCATGCCATTGTCCCTCTCACAGTGTTGCCTCAGGCCCACGGAGAACAAACAGCTTTACAAGGCTTTAAAGCTTTGAATATACCGGCGTGCCACATTTACCTCTCCATGGATTTGTTTTTCAATCCTTATCCTCGCATCCCCTACCACAATCCCCCAGAATTAAACATTCAATCCATCCCATTTATACTCTGCACCCTCTTCAAAGAACAGCTCGATTCTGTTCCCCCAACACTCTCCATGTTCAGTCAACTCTTTCTCCACCGTCGATGCATCCCAGAACTCACCCCTCCTTGACACCCTCCCTTCAACAATATCTACTATTTGAGCACAGCCGAACTTTTTCTCTTTTCCAAAACTAATGAACGGGAGATATATTTTACTTATCTCATCACGACTTGGAACTCAGAAACCCCTGAATATGCCCGTAACGTACAAAACTTCATTCCCAATCCTCAGCTCCTCAAGAGCCTGGAAGCAACTAATCACACTACCCTCCGTAATTTTCCTTCTAAATCCCAAGATCCATAATACTCGACGTCAACATTCTAACATCCTCCAGCATCCTCACTGTAACTTTATTCTTCCAGCCGCTAAGAGACATGACAAGTTAATCCTCCTCCCTCTTCATTCTTTCCCGTTGACACTACCCCAACACTTCCGAATAAAAACTTCATTGAGTTCCAGTACGTCCAGCAATCTATTCTCTCCATTATCCCGCTCCTCCTCCCTTACAAATCTCTCACTCCATACTGCTCATCAAACAAATCCTACGCACGCCCGCTGCAAATCGCGTCGTCATCAACATAAAGAGTTCGTATAGCCCAAGTCGAAAATCAAAGCGTGTGGAGAAAAGAAGCAGTTGTTGGGTCGATGTGGTCTGTGGCTCCGATGCCTGGAAAAACTATCTATGGGGTGGGCGGCGAAGGAGAATGTTTGGAGGGAGGGGGGAGGGGACTTGGATAGTGACAGCGAGAAAGAGCTGTTGGTGAATTCTTTTGGTTATCGAGGTTCCACGAAGAATGTTTCGAATGCAGAAGGTATGAATAATTTCATTTTTGAAAGGGATGAGAAGGAAGGTAATTAAAAAATAGTTTAACTGACTTGTGAGGACCAATTACTAAATACCCCCTTCTTTTTCTACGGAATACCTTTCTCCCAAGGACTAATAAAATTATAACGAGCAATCCACAGTCCAGTGTGTCATGTTGAAGTTTTATGATTCGATCACTTGGATGCCCATTCAATCTGGAATAATGAGCTGATGGTAGCAATCACTTTTTTCATCTCTTTCTTTTTGATGAAAAGAAGTGCGCCTTGAGTTGCTGGAACAACTGCTGGAAATATTTTTCATTTTGATTTTATCGCTTAGATATCGCTCTCAAATTGTCTAATCATCAACCCCTTCTCGGCAAGAGAATCCTTGACTTGCTTAACCGTGTATTCTCCTCTATGGAACATACCAGCTCCAAGAGCAGCATCTGTGGAAGTCTTCGAGAAAACTTCTTCAAAGTGACCAGGGTTTCCAGCTCCACTGGAAGCAATAACTGGTATGCTCACCGCACTCTTTACTTGGTTGATGAGCTCTAAATCAAAACCGCTATTGGTACCATCTTTGTCTATACAATTCAAGAGAATCTCGCCTGTTCCCATTGCCTCAACAGCAGTTACAAGCTCAACGACATCCATGTCTCGTGTCTCTCGGCCTCCTTTAATCGTGCATGCATACCAACAATATTCTTCACCATTTGGTCCTGGATATCTTGTTCGTATAGTGTTATGTTTCGTTTCTTCAGGTTTCGATACGTAAACTCTCTTTGGATCCACGCTTACAACCACTGCTTGGTTGCCATAAGCACCGGATATTTGCTCTATGGCTGTGGTTCCAGACAATTGCTTTCCTCTTGCATAATACTCCTCTGCTGCTATCACAGCGTCAGATCCAATGGATACTTTGTCTGCTCCACTCTGGAAATACATTGTTGCGATTTGCAGTGCTGAGATCTTTGTACCATCGGCATCAATGGTGTCCCGAATACCTCCTCCAATTGTTAATGGAACAAAGACACTTTTTGATGTCTGTCGTAAAATTTCGAGCATTGGTAAATCTGCTACCGGGCAATCTCTAAAACTTGTGATGTTGAGAAATGTAACTTCGTCGGCTCCTTGTTCGTAGTATTTTTTGGCCATCTCAACTGGCTTTCCTAGGTTTCGTACATTTCCACCATCAGTTTTTTCTCGCACATCATATTGATCACCTTTCGTCACCACCAAATCTCCTTGGTCATTTGTTCGCACATCCAAACATGCGATGACTCTTCTAGTCAAGCCCTCTTTGGCAGCGACTAAGCCTTCAACTGCGCTACTACTGTTGTCTCCGTCTAAGAAAGCTTTGATTACCCTCAGTCCAGCAACTCCACTCTTTTCTGGGTGAAATTGTGTCGCCAATATGTTTCCCTTTGCAATCGCTCCAACAAACTCTTCGTCCCCATAGCGTGCAGTTGCGACAGTCCAACCTTGGCTTTCCAATTCCCCTTGCTTATATGGAACCTTGTACGAGTGAACGTAATAATACTTTGAGCTTGGTCTCAATCCGAAAACTTCTTTACCCGATGTATTCGCGCTGTTCCATCCAATGTGTGGTACTGATTTCGAGCTATCGTCAAATCGATCGAGAGTCGCCTTGACATAACCAAGCCCAGGAACTGCTGGATTTTCCGCAGACCCCTCAAATAATGCCTGTAATCCAACGCAAATACCCATAAAAGGTTTCCCTGAATCAATGTGTTTTTGTATCGCTGGAAGGTATCCGGCTTTGGAGAATTGTGTCATGCAGTGACCGAAATGGCCAACTCCAGGAAGAATGAGTTTCTAAATCATAAATTATTAGAAAGTGTAGTCAATATTAAGGAAAGCGCTTAAAATATCAAGCATAAACTCAAAGAACGAAATAACCTACATCTGCCTTTGGCACATCTTCTGGAGACCTTATCCATTCAATAGTGTAGCCCACCTTCTCAATGGCATTGGCCAAGCTACGCACATTTCCAGCAACGTAATCAAGAAGATAAACTTTTGACATGATGATATATTGGTTTGTGAAATGACTTATAACAACAAGACTCAATATATACTACAGTGAAGGTGGAAGGTGAGTCATGTAGAGTAGTATAAAATTGGGAGTTGAAACTGCCCCGCCAACAAAATATTCTGCCGCAAACTTCACCGCCTTTTGAGATGCGGCCGCATTGGATCTGGTAGCGGCCCATTATTTTTCGATTTGCTGGCAAGGCTACCCTGACTTCATTCATCACTTCTAACTTCCACTTTGACATTTCTTTATATCGCTATACGCAATCATGCGGAATTTCACCATAGTCCATGGTCATAATTCTAGATCACCTTCACAGTTGCTTCACCCCGCTTTCGACTTTACCCATGGCTACTAATCTTGGTCACTTCTAGAATCTTGGATACCGCCTCAAATCATAATGAATCTCTATATCTACATGTGTTAATGGCCAAAGCTTGACATGATCTTTCTATAGAGTCTCAAAGACAGTGCAAGTGTTTCTATTTTGTTCTATACACAAACCGTCACAACTGCAGAGATCGGCTGTTTGAATGACCAACTATGCCTTCCGGTCAACTGATCTTTGATCATATTTGCGCTTGGGAAGGTTTGACAGAGAAATGTGATAGTATTAGAGCAAACATATCACTTCACTCTCTATAAATGATCGGCGTCTACAGTCTAGATTTTTTATCCTGGCATTGTGTTCTCTGGCTTTCTGCGTCCCGGGAGAGAATTCACTATAAGACGGTCTAGCAGAAGCGAGCCCCTTTAACGTCTATCATCGAGAAAATGCGAGCTTCTTGTCCATATACCAGTAGGTACATCACACCTTTTACTCTCTTGTATGGCTTCATATTTAGAACTTGGTGGCCATCATTCTCCTATCATGATCTTCTCGATATTGTGACGAAAACGGCACATGCCCAAACACCTAGCATCGATTCATCAACATAATTTTCTTTCGCCCAAGAGTTTTGTTAGTATAGGGAGCCAGACTGGATAAAACTTTACAGCATTTCAAGCGAGTACAATCTTCAAGGAAAATACAATTTCTTGAGGGTTTGAGTGTTTTAGCTGTGTTCTTAAAACAAAAATTCTTGGTTGGCACACTGTTAGCCTATTTAATAAAACCCTAGGGTGAAGTGTTTCCGGTACAGATCTTGTGGAATTTTTCTGGAAAGAAAAAACGATCTTTCCCAGATGAGAAAGGGACACTTCCTATTCTGCTTTATCAACATACTAGAACTCTGAAGTCAGGAGCAACACTTACAAATTCTATCTCTCTAGTCAAGTCTCCATTATGACAGGTGTTGCGGCATACCACACTTACTTGAATTATCAAGATTGAACTGGTATATATGTATACAGCTTTCGGGTCGAACCACTTTGACATGAACAAAATGTACGTGCCACAGTCATAGGACATCATATCTTCCAAAGTGAGCCAATAATTACCGAGTTCATTAAACTTCGAAGTGATTGTCTGACTATCTTCGAAATTCACTCTTGAATCATTAACACCATTGTTGAGAATATTGTTTATTGATCAAAGTTTAGTGTCTTGAATAGACACTGATTGGAGAGGGCTCCATAATGGAAAAGCTCTAGGAGATTCCATGGAAAAAACCTTGGTTTTTTTGACATGTGTTTATTCATTAATACAGTGCCCGTATCAATTTAGGGTTGGAAAACAAATATCAACAAAGTTGTACTGATTAGGAATCGCGTCGTCCATAGGTGATCTGGCAAGTTTCTCCCAGACTTTGATGTCTATAAATCATTTAGTCTCGACTCTGCACATCCTGTTTATGTTACATCCACAACATTTTCAAAGACCATAACGCAACCTCTTTCAGAATCTTCATCAAGTCTATCTCCTTATTCCTTGACTGAATTTTTCTTATTGCATCTTGTTCAGGATATTATTCGGTTACAATCACATCTATCTCCTGAAATATCCACCTCCTACCTTATCAGCTTTAGTAACATTATAGGTTGAATCTACAAGGCAAGTTGCATTTTCCCCATGATTATGTTTGACTTAGACTAATTTATGTAGTACCTCAACAAATCAGCTTGACGTAGCAAAGAGACTTGATGAAATTATCTAGTCACACAACAGATCGTAAGTTTACCTAAGCTATTCTTCTCTTCCAGTAGCCCTAACTTGAATAGTACTCTCACTATGACTCGCAGAAATCCCAAATCTCCCGACGCTGGCTTCTACGCACCAGCAACCAAAGCTACTATCCCAATTCGCAACACGAGACGTAGGTCTCGAGACCCTCCTGGTAAATCCTTCGTCGAAACTTTTCCGTTGGAAATTCGATACATGATCTACAAGCTCTGCAACCCAGCTCCGCGTGTGATCGAAATTTACAACTCCAGCCTTGGATATTGGGAGAACCTTGCTAGAAGAGCAATACCTGCATACATGCCTTCGAACCTGTATGAATACTCCTCCATCCAAGTAGCCAGATGCACAGGGGTCACTGTTCCTCTTTTACTTCACAACAACCACGAGTCGAGGGCATATGCATTGCGCTCCTACACTGTCATCTTCACTGACCCAATTCGCGGTCAGCCAGTGTATTTTGACCTACGGCGGGATATCCTTGAAATCCGAGGCATGGAAACGGCATTCGTACTACTTGGTCGAGTCCCGTCCTTCACATCTAAAAGGTATGAGTTTGCAAAGGGAGGAGATATGACTAGGGCCATGATGAAAGTACGCAATTTATCTGTCAACTTAGGCGGCCGTCCAGACCGACTTCTTACGGAAAGTTTCTCTGGGCTCAAAGAATTCACAGATACGAAATACCTACGAACTCTTTATCTTCATTGCAGTTTCAGAGAAGAGTATGACTTGCATCGCCGCTATTCCAAGCCTTGTGACAAGCTGACGGTGAAGGATCGGTACCAGCTTCACGTGGACAAAAAGCCCAAGGTAAGTCATGATTATCAAATCGCGCAACTCAGTTATTAACAATTATAAGAAAAAATTCCTCGTCACAAAAGCACCAAAGTCCATATACGTGTTTGGACAGACAAAGAGATGAATACGGCAGGAATCATGAATTGAGTTGCGGGAGGAAAGACTTTTGGGTTAGGTCATTCGAGTAAGGGTTTGAGAGTAATAATTTCGTGCTGTCGAATCATCACAGTCTCGTGCTTCTGTTTATAGTGATCAATAACATATTGGATCAACTTTCTTCTGTTGATGAACTTGCAATTCGTGAATTTTGATCATGTCTCTAGATTTTGATTTGACATGTCCAACTATTGGCAAAGATACTTATCAGGACAGGATTTGAGGTGAGCCGGAATTAAATCATATAATGGGAAATTGAGGAGTCTTGCGAAACTATGGTGGAGGTAATCCTGTCTGTGAGGGAGTAGCCTTCAACTGGAGGGAACTGTGTTACGGGAAGACATTGAAACTATATCCGAAAATCAAGAAGCTCTTCGAAGTGCTGAGCTCATTTGACGTAGCAAACAATTCGAAGGACCCCGGAGCACTTTGTCAAAGGTTCTGTGGTTTACATAGGCCGTTTCCAATCGCAAATCACATCTTTCTTTGCGAAACTCCATTCTGAACACCAATTCTCTTCAAAACCACAACATCTTCGAACTCACTGCTTTCATCAGATTCCTAGATGGTGTATTGATCGAACAAGTATCAAGTGTGGTTTCTCCAAAAGCTAATTCATTGAATTCGTACTTGACAACGGCACATCAAATCTCCTTAAAATACCCCTTTCTCGCGAATCGGTAACCAATTACACTCCAGTTCACGAATGAAAATATCTTCACCCATATTATTTTTGAATTTCTTCATCAGGAAAGAATTAAAGCCCATTATGCCCATCAAAATACCATCATGAACTCTTAGTTCTTCTAAAAGGTCGGTTCTTGATAACTCCCCACTATCGTTAAAGATAATTATATGCCAAGCATTTTTCCCCGCAGTTGCTGACATCCTTCTATGCCTCAAGTCGCTGGGGTTATTCTTCGATAGATATATCTAGATCTACGGCTGCATCAAAAGGATTATCCTCAGATTCATTCCATATAGCAAAAACTAATGGGCGGCACCAGACGTGGCGTGGTGAAGTTGTGTGATTCTCGTGCCCAATGAGGAGGTGGGGTCGTAGATTGTTGGGACATTATTCGACAAATTTGGGATTTGCTGATCTTCCATGTTTACGGAGGGTAAAAATGGGAGTATCAAATACTCAAATACTTCATATATGCATATCACTCTGCTTATGAGAGATTGTTGATATGAGTCACATTTTCGTCAGAAATCAATGGCCGAAGGCATCTATGCATGTATTTATCTCACACCGCACTTGCTTGCTTCCTTTCTCAATCGCCGATAAGACGTGTGACTACCCAGTGCATCATCTTGTTTTGCATTTATGCTCAGTCGTCGCTGCTAATTATTCAAACAATCTATTGAGCTCCGTGGATCAAGGGAGTCCTCAAATAAATTGTCTGATACAGAGCCAGTGAGTGGTAACGAACGGTCGTGGCACTGAACCGTCGGAAGACATCTCCACCACGCTTCTGGTGCAGTTCATTCTACAACCTCAATTTTAAAATCATGGATTCGTCTATATTCCATCCTTCAATAGTCAATCTTGGCACAAACTCATACCTTCTCGGGCATGGCGTATCCACGAACATTAACGGTGAAACTACTGAAGGTCAGGTACCTCTAACCATTCTTTCTGTCGATGTGGATAATGATCAAATCACCCAATCATGGTTGGATTCTAAGTGGGAAGAATTCTCTAGAAAAGACGATGTATGGTGTGACATTTTTGCTCGTAATGTTTTGGCGCAAAAGTCTCCTGGAGTGTTGCGCCTCATAGCCAATTCTGGTCACTCACAGATCCTCACATTGAAATCTTTCGAATGTGGAGACTTTTTACCTGAAGGTCCTTATATTTTGAGTGGTTCAAAAATTTATAGAATTTATAAGTTGTACCCAGACCCTCTCGGTGCGTTCGTTTGTGGTGTTATACCAACTGTTCCAGGTAGTAATCGGTATGATGATATACCTAACATTCCTGAAATTTCGCTGTCAATACTAATGGTGTTACCAGCTACCAAAGAACACCTTTGAGTTATGTTCCTGTTCCATCTCGACTTTACTCTTCCCCATCTCATCTCCGGCCCCTCTTGGGTAAACGCGTAGCAGTAAAAGACATTATTGACCTTGAAGGTGTCAAAACTACTGTCTGCAGCAAAGCATATGAAGCCTTTCGAGATGTGTCAAGCACCACGGCTCCATCAATCCAGAGACTCATCGATGAAGGAGCTGTGATCATCGGAAAAGTCAAGACAACTCCTTTTTCATCTGGAATGGGCCCAAGAGATTGGGTAGATTATCAAGCGCCATTTAATCCTCGAGGCTGTGGTTACCTAGATACTTCATGTAGTAGTGCCGGAAGTGGAGCCGCACTTGCTGGATATGAGTGGTTAGACTTTACTATTGGCTCAGACTGTGAGTATGAGATTCCATGGAGATAACTACCGACTCACATACATGATAGCACTCGGAATTATGGTCAGCCCTGCAGCGGATAATGGACTTTTCGGCATCAGGCCAACTCACGGTCGTGTCTCTTGCGGAGGTCTTGTTCCGGTGTCATCGTAAGTCATCTACTTCAAGTATCAGAGAAGTTTGAACTAATGATATAGACATCTCGATACACCCGGCATATTCAGTCGAGACATATCAGATTTCAGTGCTGCCATGAAGCTATGGCTCGGAGCATCTGATGATTCTGATCCAAAGCCTTCCTCCGTGGTAATACATACCCTATGGAATTTGAAATTTTCGCTGAGATGTAGTCCCACAGATGCCTAAGAAATTAACAATCCTGTCGGAAAGATATGCGAATTTAGCTCCGGAAATGCAAAAGGTCATGGAAGATTTCATACAGGATTTCGAGAAGGCCACCCAGCTTCAGCGTAAGACAACCACCATGGATGAGCTGTGGAAGTTACATGCACCAAAAGACTCGCCTGAAAAGACTTTTGCGGAGACATTCCAAACAGTAAGTAGAACTATTAGTACCAAAAGATGTCTTGTACAATCTCTAATTACAGTGCCTAGACATTGGCTCATATCCAACTTTACGGACACTACAACAATACCATCCCATTCCGTGAAGATTACAGAAGAAAATTCGGGATAGAGCCATATGCAGAACCATTACTCCGTTACAAATGGTACTTCGTTCTTTCCGAGATATCAACAACTAACATCTATGCTAACAAACCACCAGGGATCTCGGTGCAAAGCTAACACAAGATCAACTCACTACAGCATTGAAAGAGAAAGAACTATTTTCTAATTTCATGAAGGAGCATCTCTTCAATGATGGTGGAGTCGTGCTATTACCTTGTGCCCTACCAGACATCCCATATCGTGATGGGTATTTCGGGTCAGTTCTGATGTTCCTCATCACTGAACTCCCCGTGCTAATCTGAAGTAGTTCTGTAGAGGAATCCGGCGCGCCATGGCAAGGATTCAACATTCCAATCACCGTATTCTCATCACTTGGTGGCGGACCAGCAGTATCAATTCCTGGTATTCTCCCACCCTGAGATTCAAATTTTTCAAGACATGCTCATAGGACAATTATAGTGGGACAACGACTCTACGATTCGAAAGTCACAGGAGCAAAAGAATATCAACCAGTTGGCCTAATGCTTCTAGGTGCTCCAGGTAAGATAATCAAAATATCAGACTATTAAAAACTTATCTGACATCTCCAGGAACGGATGAGTATCTAATCGATTTGGTGAAACATGTACTGGTAGCTTCTAATCGACCGCTCAGTGTCAAGACAGGCAAAGTCGCATTTTGAGATGTGGGAATTTGAACATCTATCCTCGGGGACCTTGGTATGTTAGCTTAAAATAACCTCATTCATTCTGAAGATAATTATCCTTTGCTCATGATTGGAAAAATGGTATTCTTTTTACGTATACCTGGTCTTCATACTACATCATATATGTGTATACTGACCACCTACCTAGGGATTGAACTAGCAAATGATTTATTTTTTTCATGCATCTTTTACATGGCTTTCTTTCTTTCTTCCTCTCTATTATTCATACTTTCCGCACAAAGTAAACATACAATGTGAGATACATACATACATAAAAATACCTATCCATTCATCTCTTCAACAAAAATCCTTCTCACAACCCATCTCTCACAACCCATCTCCCATAAGCCCATCCCCTATTATCTGATCTGATCCGATCTCATCTTTTCCCCTCAAAAAAACAAATCACATGATTTCTCTCCCCTCTCCCCTCTACCTTTTAATTTTTTTAATTTTTTTCATTCCCTCATTCCATTCTATTCTATTTCATCACACACTCTCTCTCCCTTAGTCACTTAGTCACTCAGTCACTCACCTCACTATCTTTCTCTATAGTTTCATTTTTGAATTTGCATAGTATGATATGATATAATATAATATAATGCAGTATAAAATCTACATCATAATTATATAACCATGACCATGATGAGATAAGACGATATAAGAAAACAACTTCACTCTATACATACATCACATTCATCAACACACTAAACAAATTGAATGATCATTTGCTGGTGATTTTACAAATCTAATTATCTAATTAACTAAAAACAGAGCTATTAATTAGTTATTAGTCTACTCCTCCCGTCTCCCTAGTGAGAGAGTCTTCAAAGAAAAGATAAGAAAAAAATCACATGATTAATTGAAATCCCATCCGAGTCTCTTTGACAGTCTTGTTCCATTGATCAAGACGATATATACCCCCCAGCGCCAGCTATACCCTACAGCGATTTATTACAACAATTTATTTCGTCGATTATCTCCCTCCCTTCAAAGAAATAAAGAACTTAAAGATCCTCAGTTCCATCACACTGTTGCCACATCTGTACTTTGCTAACCTCCATTTGACCTTGGTTATCATTGGCAGTCCAGGTAGGATACCAAGTATCTCTCGCATTCCAGAAGTCATTCTTGGCAGTTGCAGAAGCATCAATCCAAGGCTTTCCACTCTTGCCATCAGCAAACCATCCATTGGTACCACCAACTGCAACATTAAGGATGAGGTAGAATCTTTGATCGAAAGGTGTGTTGTGACGACCGGTTTGAGACCAGACATCTGTAATTCTAGTTCCATTACTGTTGGAATCAGGGAAATCACCACGTTGCCAGAGTGGTTCACTGAATGTATTGTAAAGTACTTGGAGTAGCTTGGAATCGATGTAAGTGTAAAGGTATTTTTCAGACCACTCGAGGCCAAATGTATGGAATCCGTCAGAGTAAGTAGTGTGGAGTGCAGTGCGCTTGACATTTGTTCTCCAGTAACCATCATTAGCAGAATCGGGTCCCCAATGAAGAGTAGATGAGATGATGTTATTTCCTCCTTGTGCATAGGTGTGATTGTTTCCTCGGGATTCAACAATGTCAATTTCTCCAGAGGCAGGCCAAGGTCCATAAGTATTCTCAACTGGCAAGAGCCAAATCGCTGGCCACAACCAATCACCAGCGGGCAACTTGGCAGTTACTTCAACTCGTCCATATTTAATGGTTGCACCTTTCTTGGTATTGATTCTTCCAGATCTGACAGGTTGAATGATTGTACCGGCGGTAGTATTAGTGACAGAAACACAGTTGGTGAGAACATCGGATGAGCAAGTTCCATCAGATGTAAGATTGATAACCGTGTTTGATTCGATGAGTTTTGCATCTTGTAATGTGGGTCTGATGATGAGCTTTCCATCCTTGATGAAGACATTTTCATCGTCAAGTGTAGTTTGTTCAAATTCTCCGTTACTATAAAGTGTGAGTTAGTAACTTACCAACAAAAACCAGAAAGAAGCACGTACCCAAAACCGCCAACTTCTGCTTCCTGAGTCCATATATCGGTATTGAGTCTGCCACTTGAGAAGTCATCACTCATAACTGGACAGTATTTGTGATGAGTGACTGATGCTATTCCGTCATAGATCAAATATCCCGCAATTCCCAAACCGATGAGCATGCCAATGATTGGAATGATTGTAACCCATTTTTCCTTTGGATCCTTATTGGCTTTCCATGGTTGATCAACTTCTCCCTTCTTTACTCTTCTGGAATGGAAATATCGTGTACCATATGTCCTTCCTATCGAAGAGGATGCACCGAAAGTAGAGCCAGGTCGTGAAGCGAATGGTGAAGCGAAAGGATTGGCTACTCTGTCTTGGGATGGAGAAGGTTGAATGCTATCATCACCACCGAATGGATTTACGTTTTCGGGTGTTCCAGGTCTTGGTGTTGTGGCAATGGATGATTGAGGCGCATGTCCTCTAAAGGTAGGTTGCTGATCCATCTTGTGTGTCAAGAGATGAAAGATTTACTTGTAAATTATTATGATTATGATATTGTCGGAAATGTTGCAATGATCGTAAAGCAATTGAACTGATTACTTTCAGAAACGAATGTGATCAAGGTTGAGAAAAGTAGAAGATAGATAGAAAGAAGAAATGAAGAGAATATAGAAATAGAAGTTGAAAGATGTGGAGGGGGAGAAATGTTTTGTGGCCGAGCTATATTGAGGGAAAACGAAGGATAAGCTTCTTATGGTATAGTACCTTGGCTTCCGCTCTACTTCAAGCATGTCCTTGAGAATTGAGAGGTAAAGAGAACGATGATGGAAAGATGATTTGAAATGATTGGATGGAGAATCGACTGAAGTGATTAGATTCATCCAGCTTCATCTGGACCTTGCATTAGTTGACATATAGCTGTGATCACTAGTAAGAAGAAGAGATAGTGTGAAGATCATAGCGGACTAGAGACTATTTTTTCCCATAATTTTTTTGGTGGCAGCATTAGTTAGGGTAGTACGTACGAAGATGATGGAAAAGATGGAAAAGATGGAAAAGATGGATAAGATGAATTGAAGATTTGGAGAAACTGAGGCAGAGCAGGACAGGGCAGGACAAGACAGGGCAAAGCATGGCATGGCATGACATGGTGTACTAGCAGACTAGGTAGTCAGTCCCAAAGTGGATCTTTCTAGGCCCGTGGGGTAACTAAAGTATCTAGCGCCGTCGGTAGTTCTTACTCAAAAAGGAAAGGAGGGAAAAGCGAAGAAAGCACGAACCCAAAAGGGAAGAGAAAATTCTTTCATTGTCACTCAACTGGGCAAATATCATAGGTATCATCCCATTGGAATACACCACTTAATCAAACCAATTATGATATACGGGTAAGTGAGTGAAAATGTGGAAATTTACCAGAGAGAAAGTATCTCAAGTCTCAGGGTGGTACGACGGATGGTTACTTGCAGATTTCCGATATACGGGTATCATGTTGCACAGCAAGGTTATCAGACCTCAGACCTCAGACCTCAGACCTCAGACCTCAGACCTCAGAGTACCCGACCTCAGAAGACCTCCTAGGTACTAGGTAGGTATCCTTTGTCGATATCAATTGTTACCGTAACCCAATGAATCATTCAATACAGAGTGTTCATGGTAGGCAGAGGCAGAGGCAGAGGCAGAGGCAGAGGTAGGCACCAATTGTTACTCTCAATCTAAAATTACTGATATGTCTGTTCTGGTAAGACTTACCTCCATTCCTTCTCTATCAGATCTGCAGTATTTTCCCCTCAAGGTCAAGAAAAGCTTGATTCGATAGTGACATAATCACACAGCTTCCTCAACTAAAGTTCATCTTCGTAGATCCAAAACGACACCAGTATCCCAAATTTCCAACGATTGACTTTGTAGAGTTTGTCTAGTACCTGTAGCTACCAAGTATCTACCTAGCACTCTTTTCTTCCCACGTGATATGATTCCTCCAAAGAGCATTTGCCTAATCTTAGCTCACATCTCGTAAAAATAAGATGACGATAAGAAAAGCCGACTCTACGCTTACTTACTCACAAAGGATAGAGAAACGAAAAATTGAGTCTCGTTAGCTATCTATTTCACCACACAATAAGGTTAAACATATCAAACATCAATTCATGAACCTCATAACCCAAATCCACAATCTGCCCCTCATTCGCATGCAGCTTCCCGTGACGATCATCCATTTCATTGGATGAACGACTTCATATAAATATCTATTCATGGATACCTAGCCTAGCCAAGCAAATTCTGATCTGGCGAACTGAACTCTAACTAACCCCTTACAACTATTCCTATTATCTACTCTGAATACCTACCTACCAATCTTCATTTACATATTAAATATTAAATTACTTCTATCAAGCAATGACGCTCCGCTGGCCCTCTGGGAGCCACTGCCGTGGAGGCTTTTCTCGCTCTGCTCGATGATTGATAAGCGTACTGAGGTGAAATCTATATCACTAGATAATGGACTAGCAACCGCGCCAACGAACAAACGATCCGACTTTATCATTCATTCATTCATTCGTTCATTCACTCACTGCAGGTACCTAAGCTAAAAGACTCAAAACAGACCGAATCTATCAAATTCGCTATCTACTAATGTTAACCATGTATGGACGGAGTATTTGATGTTATCTATTGATTGATTGAAGTTAAAGTTGGAATATACTAGGTATGTCAAGTTTTTCAGTTAGAATGACAGATTGATCTATCAGATCAAACCTAAGCAAACCAAACCAAACCATAAAAGATACATACATATCATGACTTTTAGTTTGATTCCCATGCCATCGCTTATACCTACCTGCTATTAATACCAAATATCAAACCAATCCAAATCACATCTCATCTCATCTTATCAAACCCAATCCCACCCAGGTACTCGAATAAATGAAATCAGCATTGACATTCACCTTTGACCACCTGGGCATCTACTCTACCTCCCTCGGTCGCGGCGCACGCCCAGACTACCAAAAATATCTGACCGTACCCTGAAAGCGAGTACCGTATCTCAATGCATACTACATAGGTATCAACGAGTCCACCGTATCTACCCGTGGCTCGGACGATAGAGTTATTAAAACAGAACATCGGATTTCGGATTTCGGATTTTGGATTCGATTGAAGAGAAGGTGTTTTGTGGTTTTGCTATGGGATGTGTGATGAAGGGATAGAGATCAGTTCGCATCTATCGTGGGTAGATTGGAGAATATTAACAACTCTATGATATGATATGGATCCAAATACCATCTATCATTCTTTATTATACTTTACAGATTTCACTGCAATAGTGGGTGTATACCTACTAGATATTTGAAACCCCTATCCTCGCCTCTCCTTCACCACCTCATATTAAAGAAATCTCGTTATTTACTATTACTATCGATCGCACTCGTATTTCTAGGTATTCAATGGATATTCTAGATGAATTCTCCCTACTGAGTCTAACTATAACATTGAGTTTAATTCGTGTTCGTGAATGCTTGTATCACGTGATGTATACACTCTAATTCGCGAATCGAGAAATTTATTCTCTAGCGACTCTACTCTTTGTTCGAAATTCGTTCTTGAATCTCTTAATTGAATCCTATTCTCTGTCTGTCTGTGAAACTGGAAATCTATTGTATGCTATATATAGTGAGTGCTATCGTCATTACCTAATTACCAATCCCCTTATTCTTTTTATTCAATTTTTTCGATTTCTAAGCCCCCCCCCCACTCCCACGAGTATCATCAGAAGCATCTCATCTCGTCCATCTCTGCACGTTTCTTTTAGCATTTCGCGAGATTGCATTTCTCTTTTCGCTTAGCATGTCAAATCATAGGTACCTACCGAGAGAGAAAATGGTGGAAGATTATCTTTGTATCGTATACCTTCATATACCATCACACGCCATTTCGCATATCATCTCCACCACAAAATCCAATTCCGCGGATCGCATCAGCGGCGTAGCCACGAGATGCGGTTACTGAGGGGATGGGGTACGAGGGTGTGGAAGGGGGTACAGATTTTTGGGGGGGAGTGAGGGAGGGAGGAAGGGGAAGGGGGGATGGGGATATTGGGATTATTCATTGGAATTGGAATTGCTGGTATTGTTCATGGTGGTGTGGAATGGACTTGTAGTATGTAAGATCTTACCTAGGTAGGTAGTACTATATGCAGGGCTGAAATCGGGGCTGAATTTCTTGTGTTATGTTATATTGTGTTATGTTGTGTTATGTTGTATTTGGATGCGGACTTGGAATGGGGTCAGATCTTTGAATCCGAGAAATATCTCTTTCTCTCGTTATATTTATGAGTGTTTGTAGTTTTCTTTGAGATTTTGAGATTTTGAGGTGGATGGATGGTTGGATGGATGTTTGGGGATCTTAAGTGAGTGCGTGGTGAGAATTAATTTGGATATCTAGGTAGATAATGAATGGATAGAAAGATGGAAGGATGGAAGGAAGAACACTTCCATGGATATCTGTATGATATGTGTTTGTACTAGGCATTGGAAATGGCATTTCGGCTTTGAGTAAATTGGTATGGTGTGGAATATACTATGTAGATAGGAGGCAGTTGTGCCGAGGAAAGCAAGCTATGGATTTAGAGGGATTGAATGGAGCTGAGGATGTGGGTGTGATCTGTTGGTTCGTGAAATACTTACTAGGTAGGTAGGTAGGTAGTCGTCGATATTTCCTGAAAAGTTGAGCGCGAAGCATACTTTGATACTTAGTTCGGGGTATTAGGTATGAGTTATTTCGGGCTGTCAAACGTATCTATTGAAAAAAATCGACTACTAGGATCTAGAGCTTGAAGTTTCTAGAAAGGTGGATTGACTTGTAGATCTTCTATAATTTCATGAGTTTGTTCAATTCTGACAGGTTGAACATGGAGCCATTGGCGTTTGAGTGGTTGTTAGCATTTCAAAACCAGAGATCTTTGTTGGTATCTGTCTGTGCGTAAACCTAGTAGAATTCAAAGTATATTTCAAAATAGATATGGCTGCACAGGATGATGTGCATATACTTTGGCTTGAGGAATTGAATTCGGTAATATATATCCCGGTCGGCAATGATCTTATTGCCAAATGTAATCTTCGAATGGAGACTTCAATATCATACTAGGTATTCCTCTTAGTATTTCAAATTCTCAAAACCACCCATGAGATGGATATGAAAGTTTGTAGCCGGCGATGGTAAATTATCAATGTGCCACAAACGCGTGCACAAACGCTTCGTCGCATGGGATTTTTCGGCATTGGTCAGTATTCCATGTGTTTGCAATCAGCAATATACCATGTATCTCCCAATATCTCATGCAGGACTCCGTCTCTTACCTAGAGAATGGATCAGTAGCCAAACAAAAACGTGTAGATGATGGTAAATAAAGAAAGAATTGAGACGATCTTTCAAATCCCTTCTTCCACGTTCCGATGAAAATACACGATGTGAAATTTGTGTTGCAGGAACATGTGAAGAGGTTATTCTTTTTCATGTGAGTGTTTTTTCTCCTTTTGCTTATGGTACGTAGAAAGAGTTGTGCGGGATTCTTCACCCCTATGTGTTTTTTTGATATTGAAGGGATCCTATGTTCTTCGCCATTTGGAGAGCATTGATTCCAACATCTCCACCATCTCCACCATTCCTCTCTTTCTCCGGGGTAATTTCACTAGGATCTGTGATTGAACAGTCATCGACTTAGAGGTGATGTCAGTATAACATAGTAGAATTACTGAGTATCAATTTGCCTACCTCGGTAAGATATGCCAGCTAATATAGAGAGCAAAGGAAAATATTCTCCTCCGAGCTATTGAAGCAATTGTTCAATCGATTACCCATAAATCATTGAAATTTTTAACTCTTGGCTGAAAATTATATATCTGCCATACTTTACATAAGCCACTGAAGTCGTATTAGGTAAATTTAGCTTACCAATAGATTCATACCATCGTTTATGTTCTGCATACCTGCCTAGGTAGGTAGTCAACGGTTTGA